ACTGACACCGTTGCTTTTCAGTATTCTGGAGAGGTCCCTGACAGCAAACTTACCCAATTCAGTTCATCTTTTGATTTCATGACTGCTGGTATTAAAGAGTGTTGATTGTGGAACCAAGCAAGCTGAAGTTATTAACAGTCTCTTCTCCATCTATCATGAAGCTGCCAATTGACCCAGTGGTGAGAATTTTTGTTTTCTTGATGTTGAACTTCAGTCCATATTGAAGAGTACAGTTCTTGCCCTTCTGCAGCAAATGCCACATCTTCCTCAGTTTCAGCAAACAAGGTGTGTCATCTGCATAACATAGGTTGTTGATGAGTCTTCCTACAATCCCGATTCCACATTCCTCATCATAAAGTCCAGCCTCCCAAATGATCTGTTCTGTACGTAGATTGAGTAAGTATGGAGATAGAACACATCCCTGACACATACTTTTACTGATCCTGAACCATGCAGTATTTGCCTGCTCTATTCTGACTACTGCTTCCTACTGCTTCCTGGTTCAAGTATAGGTTTCACATGAGTACAGTCTAGTGCTCAGGGATTCCCATTCTTTTCAAGATTATCCACAATTTGTTGTGATCCACACAATCAAATGCCTTTGCATATTCAATGAAACACAGATAGACGTTCCTGTTATATTCTTTGCTTTCAGCCAAGATCTATCTAACATTGACTGTGATGTCACTAGTGCCACGGCCTTTTGTAAACCCAGCCTACACATCTGACAGTTCTCTGCTGATGTACTGTGCTAGTCATTTCTGGATAATTTTCACTTGGATCTTGCTTACGTGTGGTATTAGTGATATTGTTCAATCATTTTGCTCTCTGTTGAGTCCCATTTATTTTTAGATTGGATTATATATTAGGTCTCTTCCAGTCAGTTGGCCATGTAGTTGTCCTCTAGATATCTTGGCATAACCTAGTAAGTCCAGGACAGTGTCTGTTTGCTATCATATGTCAATTGGTATTTCATCAATTTGCTTAGAGAAACTCTGAAAATAAATTACGCCTAATTTTAAAAAATTAAATTACGGTAAGACATGGACCTCACCTGATGGATTACACACGAATAAGGTTGATTACATCAGTGGAAGGATGTTGGAGAAACTCAGTATTAGTTGTCAAGGCAAAGCCAGGGGCTGACTGTGGAACACCCTATCAACTAATCATATATAAGTTCAAATTGAGTGTGAAGAATATTTTAAAAAGTCTACAAGAATCAAAATTCAACCTTGAATATATCCCAGTTGAACTTAAAAGCCATCTCAAGAATAGATTTGATGCATTAAACACTAATGGTCAAAGACCAGCCAAGTTGTGGAATGACATCCGGAGCATCATCCAAAGAGAAGGTTACAGCTCATTACTATGATAGGAAAGAAAGTAAAGATCAATATGAATGTTAGAAGAGACTCTAAAATTTGCATTGGACCAAAAAGTTCCTCTCTCTGACCTCTGCCTCACCAGCCTGCTCCAAAGAACAGCCTCTCCTAGCAACATGCCCAATGTATGTGAGACAAAGTTTTGCCATCTTTGCCTTCAAGAAATTTCCAGGCTTCAGTTTTCCTAAGACATATCTGCTTGTTCTTTTGGCAGTCCATGGACTATTCAATATTCTTCTCTAACACTACAGCATCAGTTTTTCTTCTGTCATCCTTTTTCGTTATAGATGAAAATACTTGGGCTAATATTAATCACCAAATTGCACTTACTTGCCATTGAGTCAGAACTGATTCATAGACTCTCCAGTGGGTTTTCATAGGCTGTAAATCACATAGGAGGAGATTGCCCATCTTTCTTCTCCAGTGCTTCTGGTGGGTTTGAACTACAAGAGAGGCAATGCATTATGAGTTTGCAGCACCCACCCAGTATACCACCAGTACAACCTCATACTGACATCTCTATATTCATGTAGAGATAAAATGGCTTTTCAGTGGTTTTCTTTAAAGACTTCTCCCCATGATCATTTTAGTATAATATGGTACTGTAGTGTCGTGTGATACTCATTAAATGTTATTTCTCAAGGTACTCTTTATTTTGTACCTGTGTCTCCTTGACCACCATTTTCTTTTATCCCATTACACCACCTGTGTCTTTGTTCTGCCTGGGTTCTTCCTTCATTTGTTGATCTCACTGAGTGATCTATTTGAGGACAGTACTCTAGGCTTATGCATTTTCTTAGCATGTTGTTGTTATGTACCATCAAGGCAGAACCAAGTCATTTTTTTACACTCCTTGGGTTTTCAGAGACTGTAAATTTCAGTGGAGGAATTGCTCATCTTTCTCTGATGGAGCAGCTGCTGAATTATAGTTGTGTACCTTTGAGATGGCAGTGCAATGCCTTACCCCTAGGCCACCAGAGCTCCCCTTCTGTGAGCATTGTTGTTAAGTGCTGTTGAGTTAACTGTGATTTACAGAAACCCTATGAACAGTGGCTCTGAAACCTGACCTATCCTGTGCCATCTACTGTTACAGCACTTTGTCAGTCTGCCTTGTTGAGGGTCTTTCCCTCCTGTACTGACCCTCTACCTTTCCCAGGATGATGTCCTTTTCCAGGGACTGGCCCCTAGTAACCACATACCCGGAGTATGCATAATGAATTTGCACTACCTTTGCCTCTTAGCAGCACCCTCACTGCATCTTTTACAAATGTACTGGTTGGTTCTTTTGGCTTTCCGTAGGATATTCAGTACTCTACTCCAGCATTGCAATTCAGAGGCATCGATTCTTCTTCTGTCATCCTTATTCACTACCCAACTTTCAGATGCATATCTAGTAATTGAAAAGATCATGGTTTGGATGTGGTGCACCTCAGTCTTCAAACTGACATCTTTTGCTCTGCTACACTTCAAGGAGGTCCCTAACACTGCTTTCCTAGTGCAATATGTATTTTGATTTTCTGGCTGCTGGTTCCAAGAGTGCTGAATGTAGATCCAAGCAAGATGAAACATAGTAAATATTAACTTAATAATGATTGTAATTTACTGTATAAAAAACCTTTAAGGATCACAATAGTTTGCCAATAGAATATAGTATCATTTGTCAGTACAGATTCAGTGGAGGAGTCCCTTCATGGTGACATCTAAATTTTTTATCTCTTTTTCCATTTCTAGGTTGCCATCACGAAAGCCAAAGTGGATTTCTCCAGTGTGGTGTGCCTGCCCCCTTCCGTCATTGCTGTGAATGGGCTGGACGGAGGAGGGGCTGGCGAAAATGATGATGAACCAGTGTTGGTGTCCCTGTCTGCAGCACCCAGCCCTCAGAGCGAAGCTGTTGCCAATGAACTGCAGGAGCTCTCCCTGCAGCCCGAGCTAACCCTTGGCCTCCACCCGGGAAGGAATCCCAATTTGCCTCCACTTAGTGAGCGAAAGAATGGTGAGCGGATATGGAATTATTACATTGCCTGATTTTGCCCATAGTCTTCATATTTATGTATTAGATCTTCACTTAATTTCGTTACTTTATAGTTGTGATAAATTTAGGTGATAGCTCTAAACCCATCATGTCCTTCCTACTTTCTTACTTGTCTTTCTACTGCTGTGCTTTGCCTATTCTATCCCTTCCATAGCTCTATTAAGCAAATACTGAGTTAACAACCAATAAATAAGGCTGTCTCTAGTTACTGACTGACTTAAGTATTGCTCTTATTTGCCCTTTCATTCTTATTTAAATTTGCCCTCCCTTTGAAACAATTGAACCTCTTCTGTAACAAAATCTTTACAGCCTACTGTAACAGTCACTTTGACTTGCTGCAAGTACAGTTTTGTGGTTTTTTTTTTAAATTTTATTATTTTTGTGTGCATGTACGGTCAAATCAGATCTGACTGGTACAGGAGGAGATTGTCCCTCCTTCCCCGGCAGAGCATCTGGTGGATTCAAACCTTGCGGCTCTGGGATTGTAGTTGCAGCTCTTTGCCACTAGGCCACCAGAGCTCCCCTGCAAGTACAGTTTTAAAATCACTGTAAAGTCTTTAAGGGTGGGTTTTTCTTTTTCTCTTTTCTCGCCCCCCCCCCCCATCAAAACCAAGTCCATTGCCATGAAGTTAAGTCTGACTCCAAATGAGCCTTCATTGAGTTCTGGGTCTGTCAGTTTTAAGGGAAGAAGAATGCCTTATCTTTCCTTTGAGAAGTGACTGATGAATTCCAGTTTTCAGTAAGCATGTAACCCATTGCCATCAGGACTCCTTTTCTTGCACTAAAAGTCATTGCCTTTAGGTCAGCTCTGATTCCTTAATGACCCTCTGTTGGATTTTTTTTTAATAATTTTAATGAGCATTTACAGAAATTTTGGATTTCCGTTCATTCATTGCTGCACTTCTCTCCCCGCCCAGTCCTCCCGCCCCCACTCTCTTGGAGTTTTGAGGCTACTAATTACAATGGGAGAAGACTGGTCATCTCTGTCTTGTGGAGATGCTGGTAGATTAAAAGTGCTACAGATGTGTATCTTTGTGTTAGCAGCACATATCTCTACAGGCTGTGCCACTAGAGTTTCCCTCTTGTACTAAAGTAAAGGTAAGTAAGAACAGCTGTGAACCTAGACTGATTTACCTGCAAATTCTTAAATTAGGAATTATTGTTGTTATGTGCCATGAGTTGCCTGTGACTCATTGTGACCCTATATGTACAACAGCCCTAAGCCATGCTCTATCCTGTGCCAATCTTACCGTCTCTGACACACTCCATTAACACCAGTCACTGAATCAATCCATCTCATTAAGAGTCTTCCTTTCTTGCACTGTCCCTCCACCCTCCCAAGCATGACGTCACTCTCCAAGGACTGATCCCTCCTTGCAATATGTGCAAAGTATGTCAAATGAAGCTTCAGAATCCTTGCCTCCAAGGACCAGCCTGGTCTCACTCTCTCTAGGACAAATCTATTTGTTC